GGGGGAGGGGGGATGGGTTGTGGAAGCGAGGGTCAGAGGCTGAGCCAACGATCCATGGGCTCTGTCAATGATGGTCCCTTTTGGGGTACCCTGATATCAGGGGCCGTAGAAGAGGGACCCGCACAGGGACCACAACTTTGAGACCTGACCATAGCTCCACAACCCCGCTGCGCGCCCACGAATCAACTGAAAAGTCTCCCCTCGACGCCACCCCGCGCTCACCGTTCCCTCCACACAAAGACTCTGGAGGGAATTTCGCAGCTTAGGGTTCTGGGGCTGTAGTGGAGTTGGCGTTTCTGTCCTCTGCAGAGCTTGGGAGTTTAGAGTTTAAGGGTTTGGGCCGTAAACTCCACAAACCCTCTGCAGACCATAAACTCCCACGCAAATGCGCCTCGGTGGCTGATCGAACACCTCTACAGGCGGTATCCTGCACTCAACGGCGAAGCGTTCGACAAGTCGCAGGACAAGTGAAACCTTCGACCGCCTTCGAGAGGTGCAGGGGCTTGGGCACTAGGACCCTTCATCCTGAATTCCAAGAGTGCGGCACTCTGAAAGTTCCTTCTGTGTCCTGCTGAAGGCTTTGGGCAGTTCTACGATTTTGGGGGTTGAGGGTTCACGGGAGTCGTGCACCCGCGCCTCCGGAGGTGTCTCCACCCGCACAGTCGGAGCACAGGACCTTCGTTGTTGAGACACTTCCGTAACCTCAAACCCCGCAACTAGCGTGTAGGGTTTAGGGGAGTGCTGCTGGGAGATCTCATCTCCGCAAGGGACTTCGGGGTACAGGGCATAAGCGGGAGCATAGGGCTCAGGGTGCAGGGGTTAGGGTGCATGGCTTGACACAAAGCCGAACGAAGAAGCTCTGCCTGCAGTTGGATCTACCCATGCTGTCGTGGGTAATCCCCGATAACCTGCACTCAACCAGCACCCCAGGCCTGAACAGCCCTTCAACCCCCTTACCAAAGAACCTGAACCCTGGATGAACTGGGCCCCTCCCTAAACACGAAAGAACAGTAGAAGGGCTCGCGCTTTTGCACGCTGCCGGCAGAGGAGGGCTTCTGCGACGGAAAGCCTCGATTGCTAGGCTCAGAAAGCATGTGGTGGTCTAACTCTTAAGCTTTACGGCGTACTCTCTTGACACATAGACATATACACATGTATATTATGTGTATATATGTATATCCACATACATACATACATACATACATACATACATACATACATACATACATACATACATACATACATACATACATACATACATACATACATACATACATACATACATACATACATACGCACACACATACATATATATATATATACATATATATATATATATAACTGCTATCTATCTATCTTTCTATCTTTCTTTCTTTCTCTCTCTCTCTCTCTCTCTCTTCTTCTCTCTCTCTCTCTCTCTCAAATTTCTCTGTTTTTCGAGGGAGGGGCTGAGGCTGAGGTCTTACGGGGGTTGAGGGCTGCACCCCGAGAACCCTCAAAGCCAACGATCACAACGATCACCCCAAGGAGCTTTTCGAGATGACGACGTCTGCCCGGCGCATGCTGGACTTGAAGCGGCGGGTCCCTGGCTGCTGTTTAGGATCTGGTTCGGGGTTTAGGGCCCCTAGGGTTCGGGTTTCGCATTTTGGGGGTTTGGCCGAAGCGCAGATTTAGACTCCGGGCTGGAAGCACCTGAAAGCCCCTAAACTTTTCAGGGCTCCGGGAGCTTTGCGTGCGAAAGCCCTGCAAGGCACTCCTTGGAACGGAATGGAACCCGTGACGCCCTGAAGTCTTGACTGATCAACCCGCAGAGATCCTGGGACACTCTGTTTCTGTAAAGATCTGAACCACCCGAAACCCCAAATACCAGCCCTTCGAGCCCCGGAACCCTCCCCAAGAGCCGCCTACCACTGCACAGAGGGCCGCCATAAGGGACTGCCACTCCGCAGTCGAGACCTTTTCAAGGTGGTTAAGAGGCCGTGGGCTTGAAGGCAGGGGTTCCTGCATGTATACTGTGTACTTGAAGAGTCATAAGTAAGACTCCCATGAAACTTCAAGTAGTGTTTAGCTTACACAGGGCACAACGTCCCGGTCCCAAAGGACGCACCTGGACACTGCGCTGCCGCCGCTGCCTCGGGCCGTGTCAGGCGCAGGCACTTGGAGTCTCTTACGAAATGAATTGCTCAAGTTCTGAAAAGATGAAGACAGAAATTGCCTATATACATACACAGAGTTCGGGGGATACATCGATTGATAGATGGATAGATAGATGGGTACGTAGATCTACAGATCAGGCACATGGAAAGCGAGAGACAGAGCTAGTAAAAAAGAGTATGAGTCTAGCATGTGTGAATCCCTTTTCTTAGACCCTATGCTCTCAATCTTCTGAGGGGCTTGGGTGAGGTGCAAAAAATCTTCCCGCGCTGTGCATGCTTACGTTCGCGGGGACGCTGACCCCAAAGTTGCAAGCTGCTACCATGACCTCTCAAACCCCAAACCTCAAACCCCAAACAATAACCCTTCCCCGCTGTGCAATCGTTTCGGGGTATCTGTGGGGTACCTAAAGTCAAAGAATAACAACACATAACGTCACGAAATGGAAGTTGATCAAAAAATTGATCCCAAAAAAATGGGAACCCCAAACAATTGCCCAGAAAGACCCTTTAGATCAAGCCTAATACCAAAGGCCCAAGTGGCGCTTTGAGCTCGCGCGGAACGCCCTGCGAGCCGAATTGGGGAGACGTGCCCGTCAAACCTACTTGAGGGTTCATGGGTACTTACATTGCAAAGTTCTTGTACCTGCTCTGCATTACGGTTCTAGGTGCGGCAACCCTACAGAGCCCTACTGAAACCTACAGAATGAGGATCAGGGTGTTGGGCCAAGGGGCCCTTTTGAAAGTCAAGGAGTCCATCAAGCCTCCCTGCACCTGCAGCCCCCTTTTCAGAGGGCCTCCTAAAGGGGGGCCTATACCCAGAAAGACCTTCAAAAACACTGTCCTCAAAAGACCATCTTGGTTCTCAACCAGTGGGAAACTCAGAAACATTCACATTCAAGCCGGCGCAATGCTTTTGGAGGACTTGGGGATTCGGATAGTTCGATGACTCTAAATCCCTCTAAGCCCCCTTCGGGTCTCACCGCCAAGCCCGCGCCTCCAGCCTACCTGAAGCAAAAAAACTCCTATGCCACTATGCCCCACCCCAGGACTTCGGACGTGAGTCCCGAATCCCCCGAAAGCCCGAAAGGGTTGGCGCCAAAGATTGGGAGGGGTGTTGGAGTCCGGAAACCCTCAGTTTGCTCCAGACCCCTAAGCCCTCGAGCGGGCCAAACTTCCGGTGCTTGCTGTGCTTTCGCACAAGGTTTCGGGGGTTCAACGCTTTGGAGCGGCTGCCCTAAGCTCCCACGAGCCTCTACGTGCTGCGTCAAGGTGGGCCAGATGCTCTGCAACTGCCAGGAGGTTGGAGCTTGAGCTTTCAGGTTTGGGGCCCTGGGCCATGAATCCCTAAAGGCCCTAAAACCTCTAAACCCGCCCTAGACCCCTTTGGTCGTGCTGCCGTGGCTCTCAAGACATGGGGGGGCTCGACCGGTATGCTGTTTGGTCGTTCCGTTGGGCTCAGGGCTCAGGGCTCAGGGCTTAGGATCTGGAGGCGAATGGGCTTTTGGGCTTTTGGGCTTTAGGGCTTTAGGGCTTCGGGGTAGGACACTTGGGGCCTTGAACTGTCGCGCCCAAAACCCCACAAACCCCTTTCGGCCCTTCCATGTTAGGGTCATACCAAGGACAGTTGCTGAAGAAAGGCAGTTGCAAATAGAGCTCCGGACCCTAGAACTCCAGGCCGTTCCGAGTCCTAGGGACCATGTGGTGCCTGCAGAAGTGCGGGTTTCGTGGGCTTAGGGCAACCAAAGAAACAGTCATCTTCTGAACCTGAAGTGTAGACCAGACATGTTATCCCGAAAGCCCCAACCTCCTTAAATCCCGAACACCAAGAAGCCATCTCGCACCTACTAGACATGAACGGAACTGCTATCTGTTCAGGGAGGCTTCTACCCTCAAGCCCCACTTAAGGACGCCTGATCCTGGTGCACCATGCCAGTGGAGGTGGGGTCTAAACGCCGGAAGAGGGCCATGGACATCTTGCCAGGTGTGCGGGGGTCAGGGGTGGGATGCGATTTTGAGCGACTACGGGTTATGAGTTTGTGCATAGTAGTCTTCCATTTTCTATTCACCATCACGGTCTGTTCGACAAAACTTGAACCCCTCAAAGATCTCACACTACGTCACAGGTAGGTCTTGTTGGTTTGAGGGCTTGGTCCTGGGTTTACGGCGAATGAGCCGCTACAAGAGCCTTTAGGAGGGGAAATGGACTTCGGCTCAAAGAGATGTGTGCCAGCCCGGGTCAAAGGTATCAAAATTAGGGCCAGCCCTGGGGGTTTTGAAAGTTGTTGGCAGGCCCGTGGCTGTTGTCCCTGCATTTGGGGGCCCCGTGCTGGTACCTTTAGTAATCGGATTACTCGTAAGAAGGACTTCAGAGGGGATGCACCCCGCCCGACTGCTTTATGAAGATGCGTGTGCTTGAACAGTGTTGGGCATGGAAAGCCTTCGAGCTTAGTAGGAGCCAAACGATGCTTTTCACCGACAACGTCCCTGAATCCTGATCAGCATGCCAAACCTGGAAGCTGCAAAAACCCTCAGCCCCAGAGCAACCCCGACCCCCGAACCCTCAAATCCCGAAGCCCTGAATGTTGCGCCCCCCCCCCCCCCCGCTCAAGCCGCCCGGAAGTCTTTCCAGAGCTCGACAAGAAATGAAAAACTCCCAAACCCTAAACCTCCTAAAGGCCCCAAACCTTTAAACCTGCAGAAACCCCCCAATAGAATCCCAGCGGAAGCTGCCGTCCTCCTCCCAGGGCTCACGGGAGGCGCTGAGGCGCCGGCCGCCTTGGAAACCGGCTCCCCCAAAGCCGAAAATTGTGGGCTTTTTGGGAGGGTTGAGCAATCGAGGTCCTTGAGTACTTGTAGCTTTCTTCTTGAGTGAAAGGCCGGCGCTCCGTTCCATCATTCCCCAGTGAGGTTCTTCGGAGAAACTGAGGTCCCAGCGCCGCCCAGCAACTGAGACCGACTGCGACCCATCCCCTGAACGGCGCCGCCCGGGAAGTTGCAGCGACTCACTCCCCGAGCGCCGGAAGGGCAGCGCCAGCGACTCATCCCCTGGCCTGGCACAAGGCTTCTGAGGAGGCGCTTACCGTGAACCCTAAACCGCTCAGGGAGTTTCAGGGAGTTTCTCAGGGTCTTCTCTTTGGGTCTTCTCTCTCAGGGTCTTTCTCTCAACTTGGCCGGGTTGGCAGAGCCAGCGACATGACGCCTTCAGCGCAGGCTTTGGGGCAGGCCCGCGGGCTTCTTGGATGTTTGGGTGGGAAGCCCCCTAAACTCAGAAAGAGGGAAACCCTAAAACCTGAAAGACCCGAACCCCAAAAGGGGATGTTGGGCTGGAAGGCCTGAAGGCCTAAGAAACTCCAAGCAAGTCCTGCAAGACAGGCTCCGACCCGCATTCTAAGATTCGATAACAAGAGTCCCAAACAAGTGCCTTCGATGATGTGAAAAGAAAACCCTGACCCAGTCATGAGAGATCAGGGCTTTCCCCAGGTTTCAGGGACGATTCGAAGCTTTGATTTTCGAAGGGTATGGGCGCCCACTTCTTGCTGGCTCAGGAGCATCACCGGCTGCCTCCGGCCCCCATGCTACTAGGCTTTTGCTTAAGCCATGGCTGGAGGTGCATGGCCAGGGTTTGGGGGCTCAGGGCTTCGCAGGTCCAAGGGGTTTCCAGAGCGAGAAGGGCATTGGGGCCTCTGCGCGATCCTGGATGCCCGAAAAATAGCACGGCTCCTTCACTTTGGTGACCTGTGTGTTGGTGTTGATGCTTTTGGGCCTTGCAAAATCAGGGTTGTTCTACCCGAAACGCTAGGGTACTTCCTGTATGAGTTTCAAAATGATCCCCTCAAACAATCCCACATAAGCTCTTCAAACTGCAGGCTCTGACAGCCTCGAGACGGGCTACCCCTGCACTCATCTGAATGAACAAAAATCCCCGAAGTCCCAAACCAAACCCTCACACCCGCGTCCCAAAACCCATCTTTTTGGTCATCTTTTTCCCTTCAGGAAAATGCCGGTCATGGCAGGGTGAAAACTGGGCATGCCCCAGGAATCCCAGAATGGAAGGTCTTGTTACAGGGCATGGGGATCAGAGGGTTTAGGGTTGCCTGATGTTGAGATCTGGGGTGGTGGTGCTTTGCCAGCTCGGAAGCCGTTAGGGTTTTGCTCGGCTTTTCATCCGCGGTGCCACACTCAAGAACATGACAAAGCCGACGGGAAGGCGAAGCCAAATACCCCACGGTGTCCCAGCAAGGAGCAATCCTCCAATCATCGGCGGAAGTCGCCCAGCAACCAGGAGCAGGGCAGCCGTGCTACTCGCCAGCATCCTTTTCTTTGTGTTCGGCATCTCAGACCGGAAGCCAAAGCGCTTGCGCAAAGGTGGCCGTGGCCCATAGTGTCTCCTGCTTGTAGATAGCCACAATTTCCGAAGCCACAAAAACGTGGCTCGCCTTCGCCGTCACTTGTGACTCATCTCCTCATTTTATCGGAGGGTGACGGGCCCAACAATAGACAGAACAGAAATAGGAAACCCACTTGCAGCACCTCACTCCACCTCCAACCCCCAACGCACACCTCGGTCCGACCGAGGGTTCCAAAAGCAGACAACATTCTAAACAAGAATGAAAGCAAGCCGCCAAACAAACTAGCTTTGGCGAAAAAATGTACATCACTGTGACAAGCGCGCTTGTTTGCGTCAGTACAGCCAAAGGCACGAACAATACGTGTACGCCTGAAGCATGGCGCCCACAGTCAGCCGGGCCTAACGAACTAGGGTTTGAGGATTGGGGAGAGGTATCTTTACTTTGGCTTGGGGGTGGTCGAATCAGGCTCAGGTTCTTTAGGGTTCTGCTTGGCATTCCGAGACATGGCCACTTCGCCCGCGGCGCAGAGCCGAGAACCCTTGGGGTCTCTCAGACTCTACACCCGGCGTCGACTGACCTAAGATATCCAAGACCCTTCGGGAATGTCCCGCGATGGGAGAGCTTGTAAGTGCTTTAGCTCCTGAGGAGAAACGAAGAAAACAGACAACACGGCATGAAAGCACCAGAATGAGCAGCATTCTCGTTCTCCCGAACGCTGAACAAGGATTGACGTAGGATCTCCCATCACTGCATCCCGTGCATCCTAAAACGATGAAAAATGCTCACGCGGCGGTCCTGGCCACCTTCCCGGGGCCTCCCCGGGGTCATTCCCCCCCAAATCCTATCCACAAAAAACTCCTCAAAAAGCGCTAAACCTTCTAAGCATCCCTGAAGCCTAACACTTAAAATCCCATGTTCGCGGGCCACCGCAACCAAGTCGTGAGCACGGCATCGAAGGGACCGGCTTTGGCACTGGGGTTCTAAGGTCATGCGTGTTGTGTTGGCCGTGGGGGACCTCACATGGTTGTGGGTGTAGACTGCTTCATGCAGCAAGTTCCTCGCCGAAGGGATACACAAGGGTCTTGGTTTGGAGCTTAGGGCCGTTTAAACGTTTAAACATCCAACCTGGCATTGCCAGTCATCCTGACTGGGTGGTACGGTGCGTTAGTACGTTAAACACCAAAGACATTGCAAGTGGATTGTGGAAACGATGAAAAGACCTTCAGGTGTTTGCTCAAGCGGCTTGGTTGGGTTTGTTGCCGGGGTCCCTTCGGAAAACCTTAATCACGAAGTCACTACTCGCTACGGCTGCCGGCATGCACGCTGCATGTAGTCCCGGATGAAGCATGGCGACCTCTCGGGACAGCTCGAAAGAAGCTCTCAGAAAGTGGAGGTCTTGAAGAATTTTGGGGGGGTTTGAGCTGGGAGAGCCCCTTGTAGGAATCTAAAAAACCGAGGGGTGTGTACCCAGATTGTTGATTGCCCAAAGCCCTACCGAAGTTCCGGCAAAGCTTCACTGGCTCAGACACCTGAAGCCCAAAAATTGGCGAAGCCCGAGAGCCACGGAACCAACCTCGAATGCCCGAAGGAACCCAGCCAAGCCGCCTAAAACCCGAAGCCCGCGAAGTCCGAACTATACAAAACCCCTCAAGAAAAAAAAAAAACCTTCAAAACACCACGCGTTCTCCTGGGCCGCCCGGCGGCGGGTACGGGACCTCTCCCGTCACGATGTCCGGTAGGCTCCGGCTCCCTGCGCTTCAGGCGAAACATCTCAAAACCTTACAAGGCCCCAGAGTGTTCGAAAGCTGGCATTTGCTCCTGGGCAACAGGGGTAAGCATTGGATCTCAGAACAGGGGCTTTGATGGTTTCGGGGTGGTGCTCAGGCTTCAAGGTCAGACCCACCCAAAAAACGCAAAAAGCGCCTATTACATTCAGTAAGGCCTTCTCTGGGATTTGGAGATGTCTTCCAGATTGGGACGGATCTCTTGTTGAGTGCCTCTGCCAACACGTCACCGCCACAACCCTGGACCCAACTCTAAACTCAGGAAAGCATCAGAACCCAATTGTAGACCCTGCAGAAATACAGTGTATGCACCCCCAAACCCTCCCTCCATCACGGCCTTTAAGGCTGAGGAGGCTCTCCTCCTTGGCAGGACCTGGTGGAAGCTTGGTCCATGTCGGTTTGGTAGAGGGGGTTCAGGGGAATTTGGGAGGGTTTTCTTGGGCTCTAAGAGTCTCCTTCGTCTTTGGGGTCTTTGGGGTTTGGACTTTAAGCAGACACACACTTCCACTTACACCCCTACACTTACGCCTGCACTTGCACTCACGAGCTAGTGAGAGATCCCACCAGCTCCATCGCTGCAAGAAATCCCGACCCGGTCCTCCTGCCGAGCCAGCAAATTCCCATGAGCCCCCAAACCACGAAAGCTGCACCCGATGCACACCAGCCCGATGAACTACAGCAGCTCCATAAAAATGAAGAAAGCGTCCGAAGACCCCAAGAGAAACACGGAAAAAAGGGCCGACGAGCCCCTGAAGCCGCGGCCTTTGGGATCCTGGAAGCTGTCCCAGCTGCTCCTCGTCTTCCCCAGGATCAGTGCGGCCTCAAAGTTTAGGGCTTTGGTGCCTATAAGCCGCACTTGGGTTTTGAGTTTGGGGGTACCCTATTGGGGTCCTTATTACAAGGCAGTCCTACTATCCTCATTTTCGTAAACCCCCACATGTTCGTGGATCACCTCTGAGAGCTTGAAGGATGCCTGCGACATTCGGGGCCCATTACCCCTCCCCGGCCTTCGTTGCGAAGCCGTGCTTCCGCCGCCGGCTTTGCTGTTGGTTGCATTCCGGCCAGCGCGGGAAGTCCCTGGGAAATGCAAGGGCGCTTAGGGCTTCTGCAAACATTTTAAGTACCCTGGGCCGTGACGAAAGGTTAAAGTGAACGACAACACGCTGATTCCTTCCATCACCATGCCTCTAAAGGACGAGACTTGGGCTGGTCGGGGAGTGTAAAGTCTGGGGCTTAGGGGGTTTTAGTTGGGTGCGGGGCTCAGCGTCCAGGGTGCGACGATGTCCTTGTTCGAGCCAAGCAGCCCTCCCGGAGTGCCGTGAACTGCGCCTCGGGCGTGAGGAACCCACCTGGGCGTTTACAGGGGCCTTTTGGGGTTGAGGGTCATTGAGGCCACAAAGGGCTTTAGGGTTCTGAGTTCAAGGTTTAAGGCTCAGGCATGCATGCTTTGAGTCTTTGAGGGATCCTCGTCATTGCCTAATCTGGGGCGTAGTGAAGCTTGGGCCACTAAAAACACGAACCTTTCGAGAAACAGGCTGTGCACCCCCAGCCAAGCACAGCGCTGGCCGCGGCCCGCATCCAGCGCGTGGCGCTTGAAGCTGTTGCCGTTGGCCTGGTGCAGAGACGTGCGAAACCCTGTTCATTGTTTGTTTTCTTACGGCTGACGAACCTTGCATGGAACAGTAGCGAGGCGTAGTGGGGCGCAGCACGCAAGTTGTAGGCGGGGCGGTTTGGGCCTCTTCTGCTCTCACAACCCTTTGAAGCCACCTTTGAACTTCCCCGAACGAAGCCCTCGCCACCATGAGCTCTCCTAAGAGGACTTCTCAAAGCCTCGTACCAGCTCCGTGAGCCGACTACCATCTCGGCGTGGTCGTATCTGGGCCAGGTTCCATGGCTTAGGACGCCAAGGCCACGTTTGTGATATCTTTGCGGCTTACCACTTCAAAGTTCAACGTAGGGGCTTTGTGGCGAGCGCAAGGATCTGAAGAGTGCACGGCACCAAAAGCGGGCTTGAGGTTTTAAGTTCAGGGTTCAGAGCAACGCTCAGGGAGAAAAGGCGCACGGCATCTTTCCGAGCCTTGAGAAAGATGCTTTTGGGAAGAGGGCTTCAACGTCAACCTGACAACCCGAAACTCCGACCAAAACCCGAAAGGCTTTCGTACGATCGTGAGTGCCCCAAAGACGAAGGTACACCCAAAGATGCATTCTCATTTCGAAAGACCCCACAGGCCTAGAACCTCCCCAAACCCTGGAGATCCTGCTGGAGCCCGGCACCTCGATGGCCCCATGCGGCTGGGCCGACCGTAGAGGTGCCTGGACCGCCGCTGGAAGCGCCCCCCACATTGGGGATTTAGGGTTGGAAGGCTTAGGGACCTAGGGATGTTTAGAGCTCTTGTAACTGCCCGAGAACACACGCAGACCCACCCTTAACAAGGGTGGACAAGAAGAAACCGGATCCCAGGCCTTGAACCACCTGCCAAAGAAACTCAAATCCCTTGGACGAGGCGCCCTTCGAGGCTGGGATGGAGCTGCGGATAGCTCCGCGGGCACTTCCAGACTGGCAGCACACTTGACTTCTCTTGGTAGGGGAAGTCTTTGCGGGAGTTCAAGAGGGAGGAAGCCGGGGATTGGTAGCCTTGGGTTCCGGACTGTGGGCCGAACTTTCCCAAAGCCTGACCCTTGCAGCTCCGTCTTGACTTCGGGGGCTTCGAGGTTTGAGAGCTTGAGCTGGGCCCACCCCCGAAGCCGCAAAGCCCTGAGAGCTGGCCTGGGACTTTCTTCTTGTCGCGGGAACGCTTCTGGGAGGCCTCGCGACAGGGTCATGAAGCTTCGTGCTGTCCTAGAGGCTTGAGCGCCCAGAGCTCCAGAAGCTAAAGTGCTGGCACCCTCTAAGCCTCCAATGTGCACGGGAAGTCTGGCGAAGCAGAAACAAAACCAACCCGAAAGGCAACTGAGGCCTGGTGCCGTCGGCTGACAAAATTTAGAACCCCCAGATCCAGAAGCCGTTGTCAAGCACGTTTAAAGCCCAGGACACTGCGGGACCTCCGACTCGGAGTCCGAGGAGGAGTCTGATGCACTGGCCGACATCTCCGCAGCGAGTGCGCGTGCCTGGGCCTGTCCTAAACTTCAACCACTCTCCAACCCAACATGCTTGCAAGATCTTGCAAGCAGTGAGGATTCACATCCGAAGCCCTCATGAACGCAATGAACCCCCTCCATCCCAGAACCCAAGCCATCCTGCACTGCAACCAACATGTCTACGTGTTGAACACTTTCCTTTTATGATGTGGCCCTCTTCCCGGACAGCCGGCATCGCATTTTTGAAAACGAGGCTTGGGCCGTCAATGCAACGGGCAGCGAGCAGTAAACTTGGGAGAGTTTTAAGGCGTGTTCGGAGAACAGACTGAATTGGAGGCCCTACACTTGTTCCCCAACATTGCAAAACAGTTGGAAGTACTGAAGCAAAACGCGCACAGATACACTCAGATCCAATGCTCAGGTTATATACTCCAACTTGCAAGTGAGAGGCTTTCCGCGGCTGATGCTAAAATCAGCAAAACATCAACATCGTTGCTTTGAAAGCCCATCATCATCTCGAAGTTTCCAGGGTTGTGTTCTTCGGGACTGCTCAGGTTGGAAAATCAGTCTAAAAACAACAACGAATCGGGAAAATGTACAGCAGCACGTCCGGCTGATCAACGCTATGTCACCAGCAAAGGAGAACGTCTTCGTTGGCGCAAGGCCGCAAGACTCTGCAATGCCTCTTCTGTGCCCCCCCTGCTGCCTGTCCTCTGGATGGGTTTTTTCCGATGCAGGGTCTCTTCGAGATGATGGGAAAACTAGGTCACTTTGCATGACATGTACAACAAAGGCTTCGTGCGCACACGCACTATGATTTCCCAGGGAGGAGAGTTTTGGCTGTTGCGCTTCGCGTTTTGCATTCAGGTTGTGGCGGAGCAGGGTTTGAACCTGTACGTGCGCCATAGGGTCCGCCGCTCTTGCCCTTTTTGCACAGCTCTTTTTGCCACAACTTGTTTTGCCGCACGGCTATATCTCCATGGTGGCCGAGTCCGTTTCGGACTCGAGGAAAGCTTGGGGGGCGTGGGCTTAGGGGTTTTGCAGGTTTGGGGCCTAGGTCACGCAAGCACGACAGCTTATCGTGCAAGGTGCCTATTCCGACGAATCGCCTATCCTCGCTTTCAGGTCGGCTTGGCAGCAACTATTTTGCAGCCTTGACTCACTTGTGCGCGCCTGGCACCCACAAAGGGCCCCCCCAACATAAGTTCGAAACCATGCAAAGTCTAGACTCCATAACCTGGTTCTTTGCCAGATGCAAGCTTGGGGATGTGTGTCCCGAGGACTCAACCCACAAACTCAAGCCTGAATCCTAGTTGGACCACAAACCTCGGAAAAGAACGTAAACCTGTAAATTGCTGGCGCCTGCACAGAGGGTGGTGCCGCCCGAGGTGAGGCTTTCCCTGGCCTTCCACTTGGGCGAAAGTCACAAGAGCAAACATCCCTACACCCTAAGCCTTGGAGTTTCGCAGCTTTCTGCACGGGGTTCTGGAGCAGTGTGATCAAAGGTGGGCACATGCCGAAACTCCGCTTGCCTGGCTCTGTTAAGCCTCCTTTTTCTCAACGCCGGCGAACCTCCAGAGCTTCAAGGCTTGAGGTTGAAGAGGCTGCGTAGTGAGCTTTTGCTGCCCGTGAAGTCCAGGAACTGCAGGGGTCCGGGGTCCGCTGCCATACACCGGAAACAATGTGAAGTGAGGCTGGTCAGTCCACCGCAACGAACTTCGTTGGCATTGGAACCAAGGGCCCAGGAAGCGTGCGGGGAGCCATGGTGTAGGTCGGCAAGACAGGGGTCAGACTTGGCTCCAACTCCAACTCACAGTCGCAGTCCGGCTCGACCGGTTCGCAGGTCAGATCCCGGGCAGGCGCAATCAAATCAATCAAGCTGAAGCTGGCCAGCGCCCACGACACGACATGCCCGTTGGGCGAGCTGTCTGGCACATTGTTTTTCACGAGTCCTCGGAGCAGTTGCTCGGCGCCCTCAGGCCGGGCGGTGGCGCAGGCCCACGCCAGCAGAGACGCGTCCTCGGGCACAAAGTCCGCCAACCGCCGCTCGGCCAGCTCCAGGGCTTTTCGCAGCAAGCGCAGAGCGTCGTCGCGGACCTCTGAGGAGGCCAAGGAAGCTGCAGACCAGCACACGCGCGCCAGGCAGGGTGTTGCGAGCTCACCCACCCGATCTGAGCTGGCGTGGGCGATGGCAAGCACGAGCCTTTTATCCACGTTTCCTAGCAGCGCGCAAGCTCCCAGCGCTTGACCTACCTTCCCAGCGGAAATCTCGGGGTGGCGCAGCACGGTGCAAACGCGGAACAACAAGGTCTCGACTTCGCCGCCCTCTTCCAGAGCTTTCAAGGCGGTTGACAGCACTCTCCTTGGCAAGATCTCCAATGGGTCAAACTTCTGAGAACGCGGAGATGAACCCAAAAACAAACCCCCCGGTGGAAGCTTTTTCTTCCCTAGGTGTGGCGGTGCCCTGTTTGTTTCGCTGGGTGTGGCAGGTTTTGTTTTTCTCCCAGGTGTGGCGGGACCCCCTTTTTGTTTCCTAGGTGTGGCCGGAAGCCTTTTTGGTTTTCCTAGGTGTGGCAGAACCCTTTCTTTCCTAGGTGCGGGGTCCTTTTGTTTTCCTAGGTGTCGCGGACCCTTTTTTGGCTAGGTGTGGGGGGACCCTTTTTTCCTAGGTGTGGCGGGACGTTCTATTTTTCCTAAGTGCGGCGGGACCCTTCTTTCACTCCCCAATTTGCAAACACGCTGCTTTGACGGGCTTTGACAAATGACCGGGGTTGGGGAGGGGGAGGGGGGGGCGCAGAAGGCCCGCCACACCTGGGAAAGACAGAACATACAAACGCCGCAACTAGAGAGAAACAAGAAACACAGAGAGACAGACAGACAGAGAGAGAGAGAGAGACAGAAAGACAGAGAGACAGCGAGAAACACAGAGAAACAGAGAGAAACAGCGAGAAACAGCGAGAAACAGAGAGAAACAGAGAGAAACAGAGAGAAACAGCGAGAAACAGAGAGAAAGCGAGAAACAGAGAGAAACAGAGAGAAACAGAGAGAAACAGAGAGAAACAGAGTGAAACAGAGAGAAACAAAGAGAAACAGAGAAACAAAGAGAAACAGAGAGAAACAGAGAGAAACAGAGAGAAACAAAGAGAGACAGAGAGAAACAGAGAGAAACAGAGAGAAACAAAGAGAAACAGAGAGAGAAAGAGAGAGAAAGAGAGAGAAAGAGAGAGAGCGCCACAGACAGAGAGAGAGAGAGAGAGCAAGACAGAGAGAGACAGGGAGACAGCGAGACAGAGAGACTGGGAGAGAGATGCACAGAAAACACCCAAAAGGCTCCAAACACCTTTGATCCTTCCAGTTCCTCCTCAACAATAAAAGCCACAAAACAATTACTTGGAGCCTTGCCTACGTAGCAGCCCCGCAAACAGATTGATAGTGTAAGTCGAGTGTCAAGAGCTGCTGCTGCGCGGCAGGGGTCTTCTGGAGCGGGCGGTGGAGCTCGCTCACGAAGCAGTTCACGGCCAGCAGCGCCTTTCACAGCTCCAAAGATGAAAAGCAAAGCAAAGGCTTTGATGCCTTAGATGCCTAGGACGGACTAGGGCTTGCGTGGAATATGTAACAACAAGTAGAACACTCCCCTCATTCGAGTAACATGCGAGTATGGGAACTTGCATGCCCTCGCATATCTGACCCTGGCAACCCCCGCCTTCCCCTCTCGCACTCCTCTCGCCCCCATGGGCCCCCACCCCTGCCTTCGAAATTTAGAATTAAGGTTTAGGGCGTTTAGGGTTCGGGGGTTGGGAGTACCCTCACAAAAGCACCGAGCACACCCCGCGACACTTCCGACAACAGCTTAGGACCCCTTACTTCGTACCCCAAACCCGGTAACCTAAACCCGTGCGTCGCCTCGCGAGTCCGTGGGTTGGGCGTTTGCCGGACCGACTCGGCGATGTCGGGCGGGAGGCCCTCGCCAGATGTTCGGGGGGCTTAGGGCCACAATAAACCCTACTGCAAGTACACCCTCAGCATCCGTCAGCCCTAGGGTAGTAGCCGGCGAGCTGGTAGGATCCTGTCGCCTTGTGGTCACTGGGAGGAACTCACGAAGCGAAGTGCAAGATTTCATCTCCCCCATAGATGCCCCGACACGCAGGAAGACAGAAGCGAAGAAAAACAAACGTTGAAAACCTAAGCTGAACCATTCAACCATTGTCCTCGGAGGCATGGCGCAGTGTTGCCAAGACCCTACTCCCAAAGCCTAACCCCTAAACGTTCAGCCTAAATATCCCAGCTTGGATAGGATGTTATGTAAAAATAGCAAATATGCCCCTTTGTCGCACCCTCGTTCGAGGACGATCCCGGGAATAGCCCTTCTCCAGCCTTCAGCATGCGCTGCGCGTACGCGTCGAGCGGCTCCGGCGCTGCCTGGGCCTGAAGCTCCGAGCTCTCTTATGGCACGCGAACAAAAGGGTTCAGGGTCACCAGGGCTTCAGAGTCGGGCTCCGGGGCTTGAGGAGGCTGACAGGAGGTGGAGCTCCCAGCCTGAAACATAAACTCTAAAGACTTAAAGCAAGCTGGGGCCCTCCCGAAATTCCCAGGCCAATCCAGCGATTGGTTTCGGAACCTCGGTGTCCGAATCATCGTCCAAAGCCTCGAACTTCTGGTACCAGCCTGAGAGCCGGGAGTTTACAGTTTTGGGGGTTTGAGGCCTGAGAGCGCAGCAAAAGAGATTTGAGGCTCAAGGTGTTTGAGGGTTTTACATGCATCTGCTCTCCGCGTTCATGACACCCCAACCCAATGATCCTAACCCTTAACCCTAAACCCACCTCGAACTGCAAGGAGACGGAAAGGAAAACCCTAGAAACCCTGAACCCTCAAGCCAACGCTAAACCCTAAACCCCAAAGGCTAACCCTAAACGGGGGAGAGACAGACAGAGAGGGGGGGGGGGGGGTGCGCAAGTGCTGGAGCACATACCGGGCGAGCAGCAGGGCTTGTGTTGCGAGATGGTGAGCCTATTGGTTTGGAAGTCTTCTTGTCTTTGGTTTAGGAGGGTTCAAGAGCCTAGAGCTGTCTATCCAAAGCGAGCAGGCTGGGTGGCTTGATCAAGTACTCGTGAACCCTGCAGTCAGCCGTACCGACAAACCCTGAACCCTAACTAGCCTAAACCAAGCCTTTGCTGGTCATCGAGTTCTCTGAGTCTTGTTGGGGCCAAGAAGCGTTCCAGACCAGCCATAGCTGCGGCCAATTTCGCCGCGCACCATATGAAATCGAGGTATTCGAAGTAGTGTAGGGTCTGATATATTGTTGGGTTCTGGGGTTTTGGGCACATGTACAGCGGACCTCAGCACCACCAAAGGGCTTGGAATTGCGGAGCTCTCACGTGTAAATTGGGGATCAGGCTGAATGGTTTTAGGGTCAATGCTTTGGGGTTGAGGGTGTATGTTGTTGGGCTTTTTGGGTGTACAGGCACGGGTTCTACAAGTACTCGAGAGTTTTAGGGTTGAGGGTTGTGGGCTTAGAGGATTTTGGGGGGATCGTGCTTTTAAAGGCTTTCCTGATCAGCCTGAGCTTCGCGGCAGCCGAGGTCACAAACAGAGGCTCAGGGTTTAGGGGTTCCTTGTCGGTCATGGGACAGGGTTCAGGCCGAACCCTAAACTTAAACCCTCTCAATTGTAAAGATCCAAAAGCCCAAGCCCGAAACCCCAGAGCCCCGCAATGCCGAAAAAACGCGTACCTGGCGAAGAAGGGAATCCAGCTCGTCCATTGAGATTGAGCCGATGTACCTGAGGAGAAGCTCCTTCAACCCTCGACCTCCCTCTCGTTTATGGACTTTGGTTTTGACGGCTTGGGGTTCTACAGGGCTCTCAGGGGCTTCTATGATTTCATGAACTAACCCCAAACCCCTTTAGGCTCGTTTAGGGCTGTGGCTTTGGGATTTGGGGTTGGGGTCTAAGGGTTGAGGATTATTGAACTAAAGGTTCAGGGTTTTAGGTCTTCGGGTCTTAGGGTTGATTTGAGCTCGAGAGCTGGGGCCTTCGCAAGGATTCTCTTGCGGGCCACCTGAGCGGCAAAAAAAACTGATCCGAAGATCTGCAATACGGCATTAGGAATCGGGGGCTCGAGATTGAAAGGTTCGTGCCCTACACCCTAATTCAACCCTTAGAGAATTCCGACCAAGACCTGGTCAGACAGGCTGGTGGGCTCGGGTTCCAGTGCTTCCGAAGCTATGCTTCTTCGGGGATTTGTTCTGTGGGCTTTCGACAGCTAGGCCGGGGGCAGGGGCACTTGTTCGAATCATCCGCCTCTGGGCGCTGCACGGTCATCTGCGCTCCCCTTCGTTGCGGCTTAGGCTTCAGAGCTTCTTTGGTGAGGGCGCTGGGGCGGGGGTTGGCTTTTGGGGGTCTTTGGGCGGGCGGGGGGCGAGTGTCGAAGAGGATGTAGGATGCAAAAGTTCAGGTGCGGAAAGTAATGTGCGCAGCACGTGCGTCGAACCCGAAGAATAGGGCGGTTGCCTTCTCGGACTTCAGCACTTCCGCACCTTGAGAAGTCGTCGAAGTTCCCTCACTTATAAACACCGAATCCTAAAACTCTCAACATCCCTGAACATCCCTGAACATCCCGGAACATCCCTGAACCCGCAGAACCCTGTTTTCCAGCCTCGCGAAGAAAAGCAGCGCCGGGGCGCCCCAGATGCCCAGCTGGTGAGCGCGGTGGGCCTGGTGCCACCATCGGCTTGGGTTGTGAAGTCAAGGGCATAGGGCCTAAAGGGGTTCAGAATGGTTCAGAATTCTCAGGGTTTCGGGTTTAGGCGGTTTGGGGTTCTTCTGCGGCGTAAGAAGCTTCTGCATGGAGGACTCTGCCGGACACTGTCGAGCCAGAGTCTCCTCAACGCCCCAAGCCCTTGAACGCTTCAACCCTTGAGCCCTCAGGCCCTTCCAACCCTCAAGCAGCGCTTGGCACCCGAAGAGGAAGGAGCCTGCGAAGCTGCCTGCACAAACTGTGTAAAACCAAAACCCCCCAAACCCTGAACACTTAAACTTCAAAACCCTGAGCACCTTCAATCCACTGAAGTGTATTCCTTCCCCTCACCCGGAAGCCCTCCGTGCCATGGCCTCCTGATCAGCATCAACGAAGAAGACCTATGTCGAGGAGGGTAGGGGCATGGCAGTGTCAGAGTATATGTGTCGACATGCCGAGTTTGGGGGAAGTGAGGCTTCAGAAGATGTTCAGGGATGCTCAGGGCGCAGGCCCAAGCCACAAGCCTTCAGAAACATCCTTGAAGTGCGACCCCCAACGCTGCGAGCATAAGAAACAAAAAACCGAAAAGGAAAATGGAATCCTGGGATCATGAAGCTCTGCCCTGAGGCCTTAGGACTTGTAGGAGTTTGGGGTTTCCGGGTTGGAGATATTGGTGTCAGTGTGTCAGTGATTTGAACCTTGAAGCCCAAAACCTCCCACCGGCCTCCACTCCCAGCGGGGGCGCGGCTGCCTGTAGCTGCCGGACAGCCTTGTGGGGGGGGGGGGGGGTTTAGGGGGGTTTAGGGAGGCTTTTTAGAAAATAGGAGGGCCCGAAACCCTAAACCCCGCTCATGCTTGCACATCGCCCTCAAGCCCACGACCTCTTGGGGCTGCAAGCCCTAGGCAAGAATAAGCTCGAAAGATATCGCAAAAGGAAGAAACTTTGGCACATCTTGTGCCCAGGGCCCCCTGCCATGTGCGAGGGCCCGAACCAACGGTTGACGAAGGCCACGACCTAACCAGCTTTACCAGCTTGCGGGTTTCAAGGGAGGGTCGAAGACCTGTTCGCAGCTGTTCGCGGCTTGAAGACGGGTCGTACCAGGATGTGAACCTCTCTTAAAGGGAGCTGTGGCTCTGTCTCAGAATTTGTACAGATTTCCGATCTGCTGCTTTGGGTTCAGATGCTGCGGCTGCGTTCGATGATCGATGGTGCTAAGTTCAAGGGCCCCGGCGCCTGCAGGGCTTGGTAGTAAGGCACGCTACTATGTTGTGAAGTGCATGCCAGGATCCGTTGCCGTGAGGGAAGACAGCTGAGTTACAGCTTCCCTTAAATCCAGTGCCAGTCAGAGCGACGGACGTCGCCTGACTTCCCTTCGCCTGCATTGCCCTCACCTGGGAAACTACCCATAGTTCACAAGGGTCGATGAAAACTAGACGTGAACCCAAACCCTCAAAACCATATCAGCCCTTGAGCCCCAAACCCGTACAAACCCCCTACAAAAACCCGACAAACTCAACCCTACCCGTCAACCCGAAGAGCTTCAAGGCCCCAGCCGCCACTTGGGCAGCCACCGCGCCGGCCTCCAGGAGGGGAGCGAATCAGTGAGGGTAACGGGGCACTTTGCGGATCCTTGCGGCCTAAGCTGGAGTTCATGGGGCCAGGTTGAGGCATTTGGGGGCTGCAGGGCTTTAAGTTTTTCGGGATGTGTCGGAACTTTGGGGAAAAGGGGTGGTTTGGGTTGAGGGCCTGCCATTGGGAGAGCAATTCGGGTGAAGTTTTCGGACGCGAACTGCAGGACTCTTGGGGGCAGGGACCAGGAAGTTGGCCCTCCCTGCTGCCCTGTTCCCCTGCCGCCTCGGCGTGCGCGTAGGGCACACAGGTGCATGGGATGTCCGCCATGAGCCTCAGCGGCATGAAAACTGAGTGGGGCTCGTTGCGGAAAGGAGCAGATAGGAGCAGTGGGCACGTTGCACAGACAGGGGTTTGCAGATGATGAAGGCTGAGGCGCCTCAACCCCTCAAACACAAGGCCCTGCCCATGGCCTTGAGGCTTTAGAGTTTTTCTTGCACGGGTTCTAGGGGCTTCGGGTTAACATAATTTGGGGGTTTTGGGTTAGGGCCTTTAGGGGGGGGGTGGGTGGAAATCCTGCGATGGCCTCAAAACTACGAGGCTGCACTAAGACGTACGAGATGGACCTCAGAACCCTCTATGCGGCCCAAGCCCTGAGTTAGGGTTGCAATTGAGGCAACCAGGACCCCGAGGGCTGAGGATCGCATCTTCGAACTGCTTCTTCGTGCCACTCAAGGCAGGACTCTACATACATGGCAGGTTGCCACAATGCGGGTGCCCAGAGAAGGAACTGTATTTCCGGAAAATGCCCATATCTCTTAGGATCTCTCCGAAAACCTGTCAAAGTGAACATCCGCTCAAAGAAAGGAACAGCTCAGAGTACATCCGAATCCCCTAAACCCCTCCGTGGTGTTGAGGCCGGGACACGAAGATCCTTCGATAAATGCAGAGCTCCCTAGACTCCTAAGTCTAGCATAAGGTTAGTCCCCTGGAGATACGAGACACCTAGGACTTTGGGTCTAGGGCATCTAAGGGGGCTTAAAATTTCCAGGGTAGGTTTCAGATTGCTCCGGGTTCGCCCCGAAACCTTCTCTACAACGAATGTTTGATTTTGGACCGCCAGCAGCTGCGCACGCGAGAGGACGCCGTATACTCCTGCGAGACCTAAAGACCGCTGCGGGAGTCAAGAAGCGGATTGTTTGGGTCTTGGGATCTTCATGGGTCTTCTGCGCTTTTTTTCTCATCCCTCAACCGACCCCAGGAGCATCACTCAGTGATGTCACCGGCGCCGCTCTTCTCCGCTGCGGCAGCTGCATGCCTGTCGGCAGCATCAAGGGCATTCTTGGCGACCTGGACGGCGACAAGCGTAACTCAAGCAGAAGGTCTCGGGACGCTATAGGGGGCTTGGAGAAGTTTAGGGGCGCGTTCTTGTATTCTTTCGAACAGTGTGAGAGCCTGTAGAAAGGGTGCCCGAAAAAGAGGAAACCCCTAAAAGCCTGCCCGCAAAGCGACGGGGCCCCCGGCCATCGTCGCCAGGTACAGCAAGGCTGCAGTTGCGGCGGCGGCTCCACAGTAGACTGGCCTCGATTGAGAGCATATTCGGAGTCAGCCCCTCCATTTGACCATCTCGCAACGCTTTCTTCACATTCTCAACCCAAACAGATGGGTTTTTAGAGCTCTCCAACGGCCGAGGCTGCCAGGGGTTCCAACACCAAAGGTGGAAGGTTCGGGGATTGAGATGGGGTCTTGCTGCCTGGGCCGCGTGACTGGGGCCATACTCAGAATGAAACACTCCCCGCCCTCCGTGTACGTGTCCCGAAACTAAAATTGCGAAAGGTCTCGTCACTGAGACTTCCTAAACATGTCTCGGTTCAAAATAATCCTGCCGCATGTGTCGAGGGTTTAGGCTTTGAGGCCTTGGAGCCTAGGTAAGATCACATTGCTTTAACATCCTCCTGAACATGGCCATTCATCCCAAACCCGTTCTCGTTCTTCCACTGCTTCCGAAAAGCCTGAAGCCCTAAGACCCTGAACCTGCATCTGAGCCCAAACCCGAATGCCTCGAGCAGCCCTCCCACCCACTTGGCAGCTGGCACGGGGAAAACTCCCCCAGACTCCATGACACTACGCATGTGCGTAGCAGCCCACACGAGCCTTTCTCGGCTGGGCTTCAAGGTAGCGGGAACTTCCTCTGTTGTTTTGACTTGGGCCTTGCAATCTTTCACCACTCTAGCCTGCAGATAAGAATACGGTCCTGCCTTTGTTTTCGCCTCAGTTCCCGACTCCCCATATGATATGCCATGCTTCGTAAGCAGTTGGAACTTAGCGTTCAGGCACAGTTTTCACAGGACCTTGCTGTGCCCACCTGCATACCCTGGCACGTTGAAACAAGCACAACTTGCAACAGCAAAGCATAACGGTGCAGCCTTAGAACTTTCGCATTAAGCACAATTGCCTCTGACAAGTGCTTTTGCCATCTTGCGCAGACCATTGTCCTGAAAGTTCAGCTCGCAGGCCCGCGGCAGTGAACATTGAGCTCGATGCTTCATCCCTCGAACACTTTTTAATTCAGAGATGAAGGATCCCCAAGGGGTAATGAAAAGAATCTCTGACAGCCGTGGAAGACGCAACTTCAACCTCAAACCACTAAACCCTAACGGTCCGGGCCCTAAGAGCTTAAGAGCCTAAATCCCTAAACCCCGAAAGCCATTCTGCTCGGCCCCCCGACGCCGCTGTGCACGGCATGAAGCCGAGGATATTGGCAAGGCAAAACGAGGGGAAGGCCACCTGGCAAGCCATGGGTCACGACATCTCAGAGGGTGGGTTCATTTTTTAAGTTTCAAGATTTTTACCCCAAACTCTAAAATAACAAGTTCGGGGTCTGGAAGTTTACAGTAGAGGTTTGGGGCAGCCGTCTACCATCTCGTCAAAGGCGCCCACATGGTCCTAGCTTCCAGGATTGTGGTTCACTTGGGAGGGGGCCTCATTGCTTCCTCGGTCATCTCGGTTAGCCACTCTGCTACCAACCAGGGCCAAGGACGACGCATGACCTGAGAAGATCCCGAGATCCCCCGAAGCGCACCTTGCTAAGGCCGCAGGCGTAGGAGAGGATGGAGAAGGGGACAACCGGGGAGAGCCGGAGGAGGAAGATGATCTTGAAGCCTGTCTCGGAACTCTTTTGCTTTCTCAAGAGGAGGGGGTATGAGATCCTCCTTAGATGCCCACTGATGGCTCGAGATTATTTGCTCAGGATATTGAAGGCTTTGCAGGCTTTAGGAGTCTGCTTCGGGTTCCAAGCATGCGAAAGGGGGGGGGCTCTTCTTGGTTGCGTTTTTAGAGGGCTTCAAGGATTTTTGCCTGTTTTTCTGTGCTCACCATGCTGCGCTTCTTGGGCCCAAGCCTTCTCCGGCAGTTGTGGCTTTGTTCGGGTGCCAAGCCCCATGCACATTCAGCCCCATAGTTCCCATGTATGGCTCTTGTTGGACTGTATCCCCACAAGAACAAAAAACAACCGTGCAAACCCCCCAGAGGAGCACCTTCAAGCTCCACTGCACGATTGATTCGGCGATAGGCCTCTGCGACTCTGCGAGAAGAGAGCGTTCAAAGAGTGGGGTCTTTGAGTTGAAGGGGCTTTCGTGGGTTTACCAGCCAAAGGTCAAAGGATTGAGGCTTCGTACCTTCCAAGCTTGGGGCTTCAAACCGCAAAGCGCCCGAAACCCCCACACCTCTCGGCTCGGGGCTCGGGGTTCTTTGGACGTTGTGTGTGCTTTGCAAGGGATTGCAAGGGCCTCTTGGATACGGTTGCCACTGGATGACTTGTCCAACCGACAGGAACACGGAATACATGTTGGTGGTCGATCCGACATTCCTGCTTTGGATGGGCTGATTCGCTGCCTATGGATACATCCGTCTGCAGCCACCACAGTTGACAAACGAAAACCATGTTCAACCTTTTTGTCAGGCCGCTACGGGTGACTGTAGACTCTCCAGTCCCTTCGCCCGGCACGGAGCAACCCTCCTTGCGCGTGAACAATGACCGAATGTCCCCTGTTCACAACGCCTGGTTGTGGGAGATGAGGCCCGAGATGGAGGGACGCCTGGGGCACATGTCGCGGATGGCTTAAAAAGTGTACAATCTTCGGTCTTCTTCAGGATTCCTAGTCTTCGGTTGAATATGCTATGGGCAGCAGGTGCCTAGGGCTTCGGGACTCAAGACTTGCACCAGGCATGCCAGGTTCCAAGCCAGGGATTTGGGGTCGAGGGCCATGCGGCTGAACCTTGAACCCTAAACTGCCCTAAACCCAACTCCCTTTCCGCGGGCTCGCAACTGAACGTGACAAGGCGATTCAAGCCTTCATCACTCAACCCCGGAATCTCAACAGCCCTCATCAAATTGGGTCGGACATTACTCGAAAACTTGCTTGTTGGGGCCATGGGGCCTAGAAAGAAAAACTGCCTGCAAAACAGTGCCCCTCCGCAAACGGGACTGGAGGGTTTCATGAGTTCCCGGCATTATCCGGGACAGCAGGAAGCAAATGCAGCCGGAAACGCCTCGCCACGTCAAAGTCTATATCCCCCACACTATAGGGAACTACAGTGAGGTCAGTCAAGGCTTAGCTAGAGGAAGGTTTTCGGAAAGGGGGGGCAGGGGGGGGAAGAAGGGGAGATTGTGAAGCGTCTCGCACGAAGGCTGGCATTCGGGCCCCACGCTAGAGGCTAGAGTTCAAGAGGGTTTGCCAGCAATGCAAATCTCTGGCGCGCAGAACTCGCCGAGCTGTGTCTTTTGGGGTTCAAGCACCATCACTTGTGACTACGTGATCCGGGCCAGGTTCGGTGCCGGAGGGGGGGGTGGAGGGTGTGGGTGGCGGAGGGGGGGGCGAGGGTTGGGGGGGCGAAGTAATAACGACCTTGTCTCACGCAATGTTGGTCACCTGCCTAAGCAGAACCCCCATATCCAACCTAAGCAGAACCCCCATTCCCAAACAGTTACTCCCACCCTAGACCTTATGCATGCGGTCTACCCCCATGTGCGGGGTTGCTACCCACTACGCATGCAGGACGTGGCAGGTGCAGATATTTTCGAACACCTCATCCTGCGGCCTTGCTATGCTTTGACCTGTCAATTGTTTTTCGGCAAGTGGCCCACAGTGTGGCGGACGAGACCGTGACAGCCCCAGAACCCTTGGAGCGGACGAGACCGTGACAGCTCAAACACCCTAGGAGACCGTGACAGCCCAACACCCCTAGAAGCGGACGAGACTGTGACAGCCAAAAACACCTACAAGCGGACAAGACCGTGACAGCCCAAAACCCCTAGAAGAGGACGAGAA